TGTGTGAAAGGGAGAAAGCACCCTCGTGAGCATGCACATGTGTGTGTGTAAGGGAGAGAGCACACTCGTGAGCGTGCATGCGTGTCAGAGAGAGCCATCTTGTGAGCATGCACACGGCGTGTGTCAGACAGTGTGCTCTCGTGAATGTGCACATGCATGTGTCAGAGCATTCTTGTGAACACGCATGTGCATGTGTCAGAGAGTGTTCTCGTGAACATGCAAGTGCGTGTGTCAGAGAGTGTTCTCATGAGCATGCATGCACGTATTTGTAAGGGAGAGAGCTCACCCTTATGAACATGCACGCACATGTGTCAGAGCGTTTTCATGAACGTGCACGCACGTGCATCAGAGAGCTCATGCACGCGCCTGTGTCAGAGAGTTTTCGTGAGCACTCACATGTGCTTGTGAGTGTGCACGCACGTGTGTCAGAGAGAATGCACTTGTGGGTGTGCAGGCGTGTGTCAGAAAGTGCTCTCGTGAGCGTGCATGTGCGTGTGTCAGACAGTGCACTAGTGCACGTGCATGCACATGTGTCAGAGAGCGTTCTCGTGAGTGTGCACGCACGTGTCAGAGAGAGCGCGCTCGTGCACGTGCACTCGTGTGTGTCAGAGAGAGTGTTCTTGTGAGCATGCACGTGCATGTGTCAGAGAGAGCGTTCTCATGATCGTGCACGCACGTGTGTCAGAGAGAGCGTTCTCGTGAGCGTGCACGCGCATCTGTGAGATAGAGAGTGCACTCGTTCGCATGCAGGCGTGTGTGTCAGAGAGCATGCTTGTGAGCGTGCACACACATGTGTCAGAGAGAGCGTGCTCGTGAACGTGCATCTGCATGTGTCAGAGAGTGCACTCATGCATGTGCATGTGCGTGTGGCAGAGAGAGTGTTCTTGTGAGCGTGCATGTGTCAGAGATAGAGCGTTTTGGGGAGCATGCACGCGCGTGTGTCAGAGTGCGCTCGTGCATGTGCGTGTGTCAGAGAGAGCGTTCTCGTGAGCGTGCAGGCGTGTGTGTCAGAGAGAGCATTCTCGTGAGTGTGCAGGCATGTGTGTCAGAGAGAGCATTCTCGTGAGCGTGCAGGCGTGTCAGAGAGAGCGTTCTCGTGAGCGTGCACATGTGTGTCAGAGAGAGCATTCTCGTGAGCGTGCACGCGTGTGTGTCAGAGAGAGCGTTCTCGTGAGCGTGCAGGCGTGTGTGTCAGAGAGAGCGTTCTCGTGAGCGTGCACGTGTGTCAGAGAGAGCATTCTCGTGAGCGTGCACGCGTGTGTGTCAGAGAGAGCATTCTCGTGAGCGTGCAGGCGTGTGTGTCAGAGAGAGCATTCTCGTGAGCGTGCAGGCGTGTGTGTCAGAGAGAGAGCGTTCTCGTGAGCGTGCACGTGTGTGTCAGAGAGAGCATTCTCGTGAGCGTGCACGCGTGTCAGAGAGAGCATTCTCGTGAGCGTGCACGCGTGTGTGTCAGAGAGAGCGTTCTCATGAGCGTGCACGCGTATGTGTCAGAGAGAGCGTTCTCGTGAGCGTGCATGCGTGTGTGTCAGAGAGAGAGCGTTCTCGTGAGCGTGCACGCGTGTGTGTCAGAGAGAGCGTTCTCGTGAGCGTGCATGCGTGTGTGTCAGAGAGAGAGCGTTCTCGTGAGCGTGCACGTGTGTGTCAGAGAGAGAGCGTTCTCGTGAGCGTGCACGCGTGTGTCAGAGAGAGCATTCTCGTGAGCGTGCACGCGTGTGTCAGAGAGAGAGCATTCTCGTGAGCGTGCACACGTGTGTGTCAGAGAGAGAGAGCGTGCTGTGCGTTTTCAAATGGGTCACGGCGTTCTAGAGAATGAGAATGTGATGGTGTGTGAAAATCAAGGAATGCTTCTCTTGCTTTTGGAACTGAATGTATTACATACGTAATTAAATAATTTGATTTCTTTCATCTGTCTTCTTAGCTCCAAATTATAATTGCCTAGCTCTGTTGATTGTTCTATGTAGACTCGCACAAGAGTGAGGGTTTCATCACTGAGAACAACCACGTTTATACTTTTCTTCACAGAATTAATGTCTCACACAATCTTTATTCTAGGTGTTCACTTTGCCTTTCTCTGATGTAAGAAGAGGATCTGTTAGGTTTGTTCAGTTTAAAGAAATGATACTAATAAGTGAAGCTGTGCATACTTTAGCAGTTTTGCTTTTTTTCAGAATGGTTTACAGTTTTTGCCCATTTTATCCCAGCAGCCGTCCTCTGAGGTTAGGCACACAGATCGACTGGACTCTGGACACCTCTCGGGTGTTTTGGGACAGTGTGCCTCAGCGTGCATACATATGCACATATATCATCATTCTGGAATGTTCTGAAAATCTGACAGTTACCAATCTCCCCATGTCACCTTTACAGGTGCAATTATCTGCTGAAACAGGGTAGATTTTAAGTGAAATACTTAGGGTTTTAATTGCTTTCACTGTAATGAGCCTCTTAATGGTCTCCAATCCTAGAATAGTGTATAACTTAAGAACCTTCTGATTTTGTGAGGATAGAGCAAGCAGTAGGAAACAAATTGGGAACCAAATGTATACTTATTCCTAAAAATCTATGTAGCCATCTACTACTGATAGATTTGCTGTACCAGGCCTAGAAATCTCTATGGTCTGGAGCCCCCGGCGTGAAGAAAATAGGCTCAGTTCTTGCACTCACGGAGTTTCCCGTCTAGAAAGAAGGGGACCGGAAATCGAACAAACAAAACATCACACAGATGAATAAACAATTACAAATAATTAAAAATGCTGTGAAATAAAGGAAAGCAGTATATATGATGCGAGATGGTGAGGAATCTAGATAAGTAGGAAGGGCTGAGCTAAGGGAAGAGTTTCAGGAAGGTCTGATTTAAGGTGAAACCTGAAGGATTTAGTCTGCTGAAAACTGGAGTGAGAGTTCAGGCAGCGGGTGTGGCAGGTGTGAATATTTTGAGGAAGGAAAGAGGCTGGATGCATTTAAGGTCCTGAAAGAATTGTGTGGACAGAGGACAGCAAGGCATCGAGAGAGCGAGAGCAAGAGAGAGAGCAAGAGAGAAAGAGAGAGAGCGAGAGAGAATGCATAACATGAGATAAATCCCAGTCCACTGTTTGGTTCAGTTGGAGAAGCTATTTCAGTACTTTTTACTCTTGTTGGAGGCTGAAAGGACCAGATATTCCTATTAAGCTGCCTATACTGAAACCTTTAAACACCCAAAATAAATGACCATGCCTCCCCTCCCAGAAATCTATCACAGATTATCACAAGGCATTATCAAGATAATACCTTGTTTTATTGCACTCGGCTTTATCACGCTTTATGGACATTGTGTTTTTTACAAACTGAAGGTTGGTGGCTGCCCTGTGACAAGCAAGTCTGCCCAATAACCTGTGCTCCCTTCCTGTCTCTGTGTCATGTTCTGGTAATTTGTGCAACATTTCAGACCTTTTCATTATTATTATATCTGCAAGGGTGCTCTGTGACCAGTGATCTTGATGTTACTATTGTTAAGTGTTCTGGGGCACCATGAACTGCACCCACGTAACGCGACAGACTTAACCGTGAATGTTGTGTGTTCTGACTGTCCACCGACCAGCTACTCCCTGTCTCCCTCCCTATTCTCTGAGACACGACAGTATTGAAATTAGGCAAATTAATAACCCTACAATGGCCTCCAACTGTTCAAGTGATAGGAAGGGTCACACATCTCTCACTTTAAATCAAACCCCAGAAATGACTAAACTTATTGAGGAAGGCACGTTGGAAGCCAAAATAGGCTGAAAGCTAGGCCTCTTGCACCAAATAGTTAGCCAAGTTGTGAATGCAAAGGAAAAATTCCTGAAGGGAATTAAAAGTGCCATTCCAGTGAACACACAAATGATAAGAAAGGGAACCGCGTTGCTGCTGATCTGGAGAAAGTTTGAGTGGTCTGGATAGAAGAGGAAGCCAGTCACAACGTTCCTTTAAGCCAAGCCTAATCCAGAGCAACTGTCTTCAGTTCTCTGAAGGCTGAGATGGGCAAGGATGCTGCAGAAGAAAAGTTGGCAGCTAGCAGAGGTTGGTTTATAAAGTTTAAGGAAAGAAGGCGTCTCCATAACAGAAGAGTACAAGACGAAGCAGCAAGTGCTGATGGAAAAGATGCAGCAGAGTTACCCAGAAGCCCTAGCTGAGACCATTGATGAAGATGGCTGCTCTAAACAACAGCTTTTCAGTGTAGGTGAAACAGACTTCTGTTAGAGAAGATGCCATCTAGGCCTTTAATAGCTAGAGAGGAGAAGTCAATGCCTGGCTTCAAACCTTCCAAGGACAGGCTGACTCTCCTGTGAAGAGCCAGTGCAGCCGGTGACTTTAAGTTGAAGCCAATGCTCACTTACTGTTCCAAAAATCTTAGGATCCTTAAGGTATACACTAAATCTACTCTGCCTGAGCTCTAGAAATGGAACAACAAAGCCTGGATGACAGCACATCTGTTTACAGCATGGTTTACTGAGTATTTTAAGCCCACTTTTGAGACTTGCTGCTCAGAATGAAAGGATGCCTTTCAAAATATTACTGCTCATTGACAAGGCACCTGGTCGTCCAGGAGCCCTGATGGAGATGCACAAAGAGCTTAGTGTTGTTCTGTGTCTGCTAACTCAGCATCCATTCTGCAGCCCACGGATCAAGAAGTATTTCGACTTTCAAGAACTATTCCACAGGCCGGGCGCGGTGGCTCACGCCTATAATCCTAGCACTCTGGGAGGCCGAGGCGGGCGGATTGCTCAAGGTCAGGAGTTCAAAACCAGCCTGAGCAAGAGCGAGACCCCGTCTCTACTATAAATAGAAAGAAATTAATTGGCCAACTGATATATATATATAAAATTAGCCGGGCATGGTGGCACATGCCTGTAGTCCCAGCTACTCGGGAGGCTGAGGCAGAAGGATTGCTTGAGACCAGGAGTTTGAGGTTGCTGTGAGCTAGGCTGACGCCACGGCACTCACTCTAGCCTGGACAACAAAGCGAGACTCTGTCTCAAAAAAAAAAAAAAAAAAAAAAGAACTATTCTACAAAACGCACATTTCATAGCACTGCCGCTGCAGGGACAGAGATGCCTCTGTGGGGTCTGAGCAAAATGAGTTGAAAACCTTCTGGAAAGGACTCACCTTCTAGATGCCATTGAGAACTTTCATGTCTCATAGGAGGAGGTCAAAGCATCCACATCAACAGGAGTTTGGAAGAAGTTGGTTGCAGCCTTCACGTTTGACGCTGGGGGTCCAAGGCTCAGTGGCGGGAGCCGCTGCAGACGTGGTGGGAACAGCAGGGAGCTAGAGCTAGAAGTGGAGCCCGAAGATGGGGCTGACTCGCCTCAGCCTGCTCCTGGTGAAGATGCCATGAACACTGTTGAAATGACAACAAAAGATTTAGAACATTGCATAAACTTAGTTGATAAAGCAGCAGCAGGGTTTGAAAGGACTGACTCCAATTTGGAAAGAGTTCAAACACTATCAAATAGCCATAGAGAAGCATTTCATGGAAAGATAAGTCAATTGATGCAGCAAACTTTGTTGCTGTCTTATTTTAAGAAATTGCTGCAGCCACTTTACTCTTCAGCAACTACCCCCTTAATCAGTCAGCAGCCATCAACATCAAGGCAAGAGCCTCCACCGGCAGAAAGATGATGGCTCGCTGAAGTCTCAGGTGATTGTTAGCATTTTTAAGCAATAAAGCATTTTAAAATCAGTGTATGTACATTACTTCTTTAGGCATAATTCTATGTATTAATAGACTACAATGTAGTATAAACATATCTTTTACATACATTGGGAAACCAAAAATACTGGTGTTATTCGCTTTATTGCACTATCACTTTATTGCCGTGGTCCGGAACCAAGCCCGCAGCAGCTCCGGTGTGCGCCTGCCAGCGACTGTTTTGTGTTTTGCCACAAGATGGCAACAGGGATCTAACACTATGATCTGTCTTCTAGTTTCCAGAGATGAACGATATGCTGAGAGAAAAGATAACTGGAAGAAAAACCGATTTCACATTCTTCATGGTTCAGAATGCAGGAATGCTAACTGGATTCACAGCCATTCTTCTCATCACTTTATACGCAGGAGAAATCGACTTGGAATAATAGGAAATGGAAGATGGTATTGTTAATAAAGGCATGCAATAAAACATCTCCAAAGATTTCAAGCTGATCTTATTTAGTTAAAGATAATTTTATTCTCAACCGTAGGTCAAGAAAACTAATTATTGGTGTAAGTCTGTGAAATAGGCCATTATTTGTTGTTAAAATGTTTCAGAAGGTTTTTGGTGTCAGTCTGAAATTCCTAGGAGTCTTTGGCAAACACCCATTTTTCAATGTTTTACCTATATTTAATATCATGATAAAAACAGACATACTTTCTGTAATCACTTAGACCTCTAGACCCAGAAGAAAATACAAGATATATTGTGAAAACCTTTAAAACTCTATGGTCAAAGGTCCAAGTGGTCTCAGAGTGGTTTTCTTTCAGTTAGTTTCAGAGCTTTCTAGAGCAAGTATACCAAAATGTGGAAGAGAATCAGAACATACACAACACTAACATAAAGTGTTCTAAGGCTTTAAGGAGCTCAAGAGAGAAAGATTCCTCATATCTTTTTGTTCTGTTTTGTATTTCAGTTAAGGAACTTGTAGGATTGCTTTGAAAACCACTCTAAAGTAATATGAATTGGGAAATTAACAAAGTTTTGTGAGCCTTACTAATTTCAGGCTCAGAGGCTTCTTTCTACATGTAAACTCCACCAGACTCCATGAAAAGAACAGTATGAAAGCTGGTGACAACTCGGTTTCAGTGTGCCATGTGTTTGCTTTGTGAAGGTGAAGAATATGTTGGTTTGGAGAAAGAAACTGAATGTAATTTTAAGCAATTTACTTTTGAAGATGAACATAATTATTTAGCAGAGAATATTTTAATAAATGCAAAACAACAGCTGGACTGCTGTATGTCAATGACTGATTAACTAGAAAACATATGTTCCTTATGTGTGATTGAGAGTCATTCAGAAAAGACTTCTTTTGTATTCAGTCTACATTTTTCCATATGGTATATCTTGGAAAAAAATGAGCACACCATGGTTATTTTTCTACCTTTTATAAAAGATAGAACCTGTTTACTCATTTAGCAGACTTAGAAATTTGGTCAAAAATTGAACATCTTAGCCCCAGTTCACACTCCCAAGTCACTTAAGGAGAGATGATTTGACAGTGAGGAAAATGATTGACGAAGGCCAGCCATGATCTCAGGAATTACATTTTCCCACAGATCAAAGAATGTTTTCACATAGCAGTAGTACGGATTTGATGAATATTTAACATGTATAATGTATATTTCACTTTGACTGATAATTAAAAAATTATTGTTTGACCAAATAGTAAATACCTTTGAAACCATGTATCGTGTCATTCATTATTCATTTTATATGTCTTTGTTGAGTGACTCCCGTGCACCTGGTGTCGTGGGGGAGAGCTATGAACAGGAAGTCTGCGACGTGTGCAGACTGTGACCCACATGCGCCGTGGTTTGTGTCTGCTGCAGAGTCTGCCGTGATGACGGCCCCTGAGCTTCGTGGTAAGGGTCTGTGGTGCTTAGGAAGGCCCCACTGGACTGGGCATTTCTGAGTTACCACGTCTAAAAGGGTTTCTTTAGGAGCTTAAATTTTTTAAAGAAGTGAACTGGTTGGGAAGAGCCGAAATAGCACCAAGAGTTCACCAGACGTCAGTGCAGGCGGATCGACAGAGCTGGCCCTGACGGCCTGCCCGCGCCGGGGACCTCGACTCCAGCCTGTCCCCGCGCTCTGGTCGCCATCGTCTTCCTTTCGGCCTCACTTTGCTTTTTGTCAAGAGGCTACCGTGATTTGCAGACTCCTTCTGTGCTTATTCAAGGGCCATGACAATGCAAGGGGCTCTCAACCCCGCGCTGCATCCGCTCTCCAGCATGACGCTCCTGCGGCTGCCGTCTCCGGCGGTGTGCCCTCCACCCGCTGCGGCCGTCGCCCGCCTGGCTTGTCCCCTGGCTGCTTCCTGTGCTAGGCACGCACACAGCCGAGGCTGTGGCCACTGGGCTTCCCATACTGGAGGCCTCCAGCTTCCGTGTGGCCCCGCCGTCGGCGGCGGTGCTGGGAAGACGGCAGGTAAGCTGAGGCAGCCAGGCAAGCTGAAGACTCCGAACACCTGTTCCCTTAATTCCCAGACGCGCGTTTCCCCTGCAGGTCACGTGGCGTTGGCAGCTAGAATGCATCCCTGCGGGAGCCCCTCTGAAGGGCCCAAAGTGCCAGTAGGAGAGGGTTTAGCTTTAAGGACCCGTCAGAGAACGTGAAACCGCATTTTCACAGTATCTGTCAAGTGGGAACTTTTTATCCCTTCTTTTCTCTCCTCTGTCTAAGCATGTAAGTCTGGAAGGGCCAAAGCCAGTTAGCAAATGGGGGTGGAGATGAAAGAGGACTCCTTTCTTGAGTCTTGCCTTCGAACACAGATTAAAGTACTGACTGAAGGAGTGGGTTGGGCACTTCCAATAATTGACTTGAGACTATGCCTGAGACTTAAAGTGACTATAGGATTTTATATTCCCCTAAAGGCATGTGTCAGAGCACGCACTGTGCCACCCAGGTTTCATCCAGGGGTAGAGAAGGGGTGTCCAGCCCCTCTCCCCCAAACAAGCTTAAAAGGACAGTAAGGAGGAACATCAAAGCTGCTTTTCGGTTCACGCCGTGAGACCTGGCTATGTGTGCACTTTAACCATTAGTAATTGCAGCGGCCCTGTGAGCCAGGCCAGGCTGGAGCTGAGGAGTCGCAGGGCACCACACGTCCTGGGCATGTGGCTGGGGCAGGGCGTGACCAAAGCCTGTCACCCTGGCGCGGAGCTGCTCCAGTGCAGAGGACGCGTGCTGGCAGCAATTCTGCCCGTTGCGACAGAGCACGCGTCACAGGGTGAATCTGGAGCCCAGAGGCAGAACATTCGTAAGTGGCCCAGGAAGTGTGACCAGAATGACAGTGCCTGTGCTGATGGGATTTTGTGCATTTGCTGCGGTAAGGACATAAACTTTTCAACCGCACAGAATGGAGATCTGCTTTCCACCCTTCTATATCCTGCTTTTTGCCCCCCAAGACTGACCGACCGGCATGGACAGCAATGGGCACGCCAGATGGGGGCTCAGCGAGGGGCTGTAGGAAGAAGGAGAGTGAGGACAGGGTATCGGCTCCTTGGCTGTCTTCCTGCTGGTGTCCTTGGGCTGCCTCGTTGCTCAAGATGGCCTTCTCCGAGAAGACATTTTTTTTTTTTTTTTTTTTTTTAGACAGAGTCTCACTCTGTTGCCTGGGTAGAGTGAGCGCCGTGGCGTCAGCCTCGCTCACAGCAACCTCCAACTCCTGGGCTCAAGTGATCCTCCTGCCTCAGCCTCCCGAATAGCTGGGACTACAGGCATGCACCACCATGCCCGGCTAATTTTTTCTATATATTTTTAGTTGTCTAATTAATTTCTTTCTATTTATAGTAGAGACGGGGGTCTTGCTCAGGCTGGTTTTGAACTCCTGACCTCGAGCAATCCACCCGCCTCGGCCTCCCAGAGTGCTAGGATTACAGGCGTGAGCCACCTTGCCGGCCTCACAGAAGACGTTCTTATACTTTCTGTGGTGAAGGCCCAGCTGGGTTTTCTTATTTTCAATTTGTCATCATCCAGTACTTTTATAAATACAACACAAAGGAATTGCTAGATAAATGAAATAAAATTAAAATACAAGGATAAAAAAATCTAAACCCCATTTTTTATCATTAGATACAACAGACACATGATCATTCTATTGAAATATACCAACACTTACTGTCAGTTTCTGTGCCTAGCCATGGGTCTGTGCCAGCTCACCTAAGAGGTCCCAGAGCAGCGCCAGTCTGCCGATTCCTCTCCTCGGCTTGTGGAGCTGTCTCCCTGTCCCTTTGGCCCAGGGATGGGACAGGCTCTGGTGTCTTCAGCCCCAGGCTCATGCAGCCTTACTGGGGGTGTCCCCACCTCCCACTTGCATGTTTCTAATTAGCCCCTTTGTGAACGAATAACCTGTCTCACCTCATCCTCATTGGAGCCGTTTGTTGGTTCCCATGTGACTGTCACTGATCAGCAGCAACTATCTTGTCCTGGGAGAGGAGGTGCCTGTGTGCATCTGCGGGGGAGAAGGCACCGGGCTGGGTAACTGGGAGTGGGCTTGGTGCTACGTGAAAGCAAACTGAAATGAATGGGGGCGGAAGATGATGAGAAGCCATGCATTACCTGTTCTTATGGTAATGGGATGGAATTGGGTTGGATTAATTTGTACGATTAACTATTCACATCGAGAGGAATATCCAGGATATTTTGAGACACTAGCCGGAAGGGGACTTACCATGCTTCCGGCAGGTAACAACCTTTCGAATAGATGAAAGACTCCAGCTATCTGGCCACACTTCCTTAAGCATTAAGCATCACTCATTTTTAAGTAAAGATATAGATTTCTAGGTGAAGAAGAATGGACATGTTTCTTTAAATGCTTATTGAATAAACAGTTTGTGCCTTACGAGGATTTTCTCATGAGACATACATCTATAGGTCACAGTCCCTTCCTTACAGCGTCCTGTGAGTCGTCACGGAACACACCTGAGAGAGAAGAACAGGGACTTCTGCCTGCGGCCCTGGAGTGGAGACACTCGTGAATAGAGAGATTTTCCTTTGGGAGTCGTCATCTATGGGCACCTCAATGTTGCTGCTCTTATAATGACATAAGAGCTTGTTAATGAACCGGGAAACATTGATTTTAGAAACCCTAGACATTGTAGAGGAAAGTGCTTCATATGCATCTTTCTACTTTTTCCATCATTACTTTTGTATTTCAATAAAAAGAAATCTTTTGATTTGTGCAGACTGAACCTCAGAATTTTAGCATGTAAACATTTTGTGGAAGGATAGAGAGAACAATTCACCACACTGTCATAGTGATCTTTTGGTGTTTTAAGGTGAAAAAGTTAAAAGAATTTTAGAATGGTGAGTATTAGAGGTGACATTGTATAAGATAGGAGTTAGGTTGTCCTGTAATTTCATGGTGACAAAACTGGTGAAAGTGGTATTGAAATCACTGCCAAACGTGTTTGGAGTCATAAACTTCTGTTGACTTTCACTGCTTATCATGACTTCTGCCCTTCTTGCAATATGATCGTTCTTCCTCTTAGAAACCGGCTGCCCCCACCCTCCGTGGGGAGTGTCAGCTCAGCGCTTAGCCGCACCCCTGTGCCCCAGCCTGGCAAGGCCCCACGCCAGCCCAGTACAGTCTTCTCGCAGAAATCTCCATGCAGGTGGGGCCAGAGCTCTTGCCCCTCGAGCATGGCTGCAGGGCTCCTTCTGGTTGCGTACCTGGTACGAGGAGAAACTGAGGAAATAGTAGCCCAGACAGAAGTAAAGATACAGGCAGAGAGAGAGAGAGAGACTTGTTGAGCTGTCCTTGGTTCCATGCCCTTATATCCTCAGTAGTTTTCTGTTTTTTTCCTGCAGTTTCTTCAATTTTATGAGTTACCCAAAAATTATTCTAATGTCTCAGCAAGTGCTTCTGTTTTTCAAATTTTGCTAATTTGATTTGTGTTTCTGTTACTTGCAATAAAATTTTTCCAATATAGCAGTTAAATATTGAGATATTTATTTCAAACCAGTCCTGGCTTTTGATTGTAGCTCAGCCCCTCAGCAATTTTTGGACCTCCACTGACTCAAGGACTGGAGTCAACTTCTTGTTGTAGGCAGAATGCAGCAAAATCTCTGTTATGCTCCAGGAGTGATGAGTGAAAGTGTTTCAAGACTTCCAGATAATCTCCAATTCCTTTTTACTTCACTTTGGAATACAGAGACATTGTAGATGTTTTAGTCTTTGCATTTAGCAGGGTTAATGCACCGAAAGTGTTGTTTGTTTGTCAGTGGTAACTGCGGGGCAGGGTAGCTAGGATTTGATGCCACTGAAATGTTTTGGAGCCAAAGGAGGCCTCAGTTTGTAACCTAAACGACCGTGAGTTCAGAACAGATAAGACATTGGAATAATATTCTATGTATAGAAACATATGACTTTTAATAGCAAGAGCAGGGTAAATGAGTGAGTAGCTTATATGCCTTGACAGGCCATGCAAAATCACACTTTGTGGATAACTCCAAAGAAGATGTTTAATGTAGGATATGAATCTAGGCCATACTTCATACACTACGTGTTCACAGAAAAATGCAGTTTCTTAGCAACCATCACCTGGTTGTCAAGTTATGACTTGATTTTTATAGACACCTGGCCTTTTTAGGCACATGCCTCACTGATATTTAACCATAACATCCAGGTTAGTGTTGAAATAATTACATTTCACTTTCTTCCAAATGGTGCTTTAAAAATTAAGTTTTTAAACTTTGCCTCTTTCTTAAATAAGATAAACAATTACAAGGAACCATTGTAGAGAATGAGAAAACAATTCTGAGTGTGTTCTGTGAATGAATGAATTAATGAACTCATTTGCTCACTAAGGTAGATGTCCAATGTCTACTGATGCCAGGCCTGGGGGTGCAAAGATGAATTAGAGCCCATCTCTGCTCTCAGGGATATCATGTGATGTAAAAAACAAAACAAAACAAAAACCAGTTTTATCACAACTCACAGTGTTATGACAGAGAGCACAGACAAGACAGACAGACACAGACAAATAGAATTTCAGCATAGTGGGAAATTCTTCTTAGGATGGGAGTCAGAACTGTTTCCCAGAGGAGGCAGTGTGTGACCTTGTGACTTTGGCTTTAGTGAATAATGTCCAATTCCTTTCTGACCAGACCTCTTCTCTCCTCCCACAACTGGAACCAAGAGCCTTATTTTATGACTTAACTTGAGATGGAATCCTTTCACAATGAATGATACAAAAGGTAACTATGGAATGTAAATATGTGTTGGGAGTGAGATGCTCTGGATAACATGATTACTAGCATTACTACAAGGAGAAAGGAAATGCAAACAAATTAATACTAACCGAAAAAAAAGCAAGCTACTCAGCAGGGTGCAGACTATAATCACAAGATTGGCTCCAAAGGTATGTGTGATATATACATAAAGGAAGATATTTTCTATTACAATAGGGGATATCTCTGAGGGATTATGAATCATTTTAAATTGCTTTTTTGTAAAATGTTAATATTTTCTCAATAAACATGCATATCAGTAAGTCAGGAGAAGAAATTAGAAGAATAAATTTTGGTGGGATTTTGAATCATTCAAAATTTGTTCTTTTTAATACTTTCCAGTTTTCTTCAATGTGCCTGTATTCTAAAAAGAGCTAACAGGTATGATTGAAAAAGAAAAGAAGAGCTAACAACTCGAGGATGGAAAAGTTTAGGAGAATATAGTAACTCACATGCTTAACATGTCACTATGTCCCTTCCGTCTGTCATTCAAGGTAGCAATTGCACTCTCTGTGGCATGTCACCTCGAGATGTCTGCAAACCCAGTCCTGTCACCAGCGGTTGGTTAGAGGCAGGCCTATGACATGGTCCTGCCACTGAGCCAGGCCAGTGCGTGCGCTGAGAAGTTTATCAAAAGGAGTGGGAAAGCTACAGCCTTTCTTTCTACGGACGTTTACAGACGCGGTATCTTAGCAGCTCTTTCAGTACGGTTCCATGTTGAATTATGTCCTGCCAAAAGGGTGGCTTGGAGCCCTAATCCCCACTACCTCAGAATGTGACCCGATGTGGAAATAGAGTCATTGTGGGTGTAATTAATTAAGACGCGGTCACACTGGAGTAGTGTGGATTCCTAATCCAGTACTGCTGGTGCTCTTCTGAAAAGGGGAAATTGGAACATGGGGATATTGCTACGTAAAGATGAAGGCAGAGATCTTGGTGATTCATCTTCTAGCCAAGACATGCCAGGATTGCCAGCAAACCGTCAGAAGCAGAAGACAAGGGATCCTCTCTCACAGACCTCAGAATGTACCAGTGCTAGGCACGCCTGATCTTGGACTTCCGCCCGCCACAACGGCAGGCCGTGAATTTCTGCAAGACCGAGTAACCACCGTGGTGTGGGACTCTGATAGGCAGCTGACCCTGAGGGGAAGCAGCAGGGGTGCGGGATGCTGAGGATGCGAAGCAGAGGGCGGAAAGGAGGCCCACCGGAACCTCCTTAGGAGCTGAATTGACAAACCTCCTCCCTGGAGTTCCACTTCCTTGGGACTTCTTGGTATGGGCAATAATCACTATTCCTAGTTGTGCAAACTATTCTGAGTTGCCTTTTGACTGCTGGCAATTAAAGCAAGCCACCTGATTCGGCCCTCCCCATGTTCTCTTTCGTAGTCCAAATTCCGGTATCCAACTCTGCCCTGGCCACCCTCTTCCACGGCCCGATGCCTCTCTGTAGATCCAGAGGGAAAAGCAGGATACGTCCCCTTTCTTCCAAGAGGCTCACCAGAAAGCAGGGTGCTACCTAACTCTTCTCAGGAGTAGAAACGAGGCCCAGCCACCGCCTGCGTTCAGGGCCACATGCACGCGCCGGCGCCTGTCCGCCCTTTCCCGCCACGCGTTCTCGCCTGGGCGGCGCTTCCGCTTCCGGGTGCCTGCCCCTTGTAGGGCGGGGGCGGCGCTTCCGCTTCCGGGTGCCTGCCCCTTGCAGGCCGGGCGGCGCGCAGCTCGGCCTGCGCCCTCACCTCGCTCTCTGGAGTGGGCTCCGGCGCCTGGAGTCTCTGGGAGTGAGCCAAGGAAGCCATTTGTACGTTCTGCTGTGCGCGAGAGAATCTTCGCGAGCTTGGGGGGTCGCACGTAATCTCCGAGAGGAAGGAAGTGAGGGATTTAATAAGAGTGTGCCACCACCGTGCGCTGCCCTGGCATGCTCACTATTTGAATTAAAGGCACTTAATAAAACAGCAGACGCACAGCGATCACCCTGACCTTCACTGTGCTTCTGTAAGCCAGGAGATGCAACTCCTAGGTGAAAGACTGTCCCCGTCACAGGAGGAGCAGCATTCTTGCTGTCAAGCATGGGAAGTGGAAGCCAAGAGAATTCTGGACAGATCTTACAAAAGTGACTATCTTTCAGGCTTCCCCACTTAATTTAGTTACTTCTCCACAACTTCCTGTTCTTTGTCCGGTTCAGTGTGGAAGTGATTGGCTCTAAGCGCTCCGTGGGTCCTTGTTTCCTTCTAAGGGTCTGGTGCCGTGTGGACTTGTATTAAATACATTGGTGTGCTTCTCTCTTGTTAATCTGCTTGATGTCAGTTTAATTCTCGGGCCCACCGGGATCCCGAGAGGGGGGAGGTGGGGTTTTGCACCTCTGCAAGAGAAAAGAGAGATGCTCAGACCACGGGACTGGGGAGTCAAAAGCGGCCTCCCGGGCTTGGACGTGGGCGCTCGGCGCGGCCTGACCCTCCGGCGCTCCGTGTGCCGGCCCCTTCCAGGGCGAGGCCGGTGCCCTGCGCTGGCTCCGGGCTGGGCCGCTAGAGAAAGTTCCCTTTTGCCGACAAAGCAGGACTCCTATGACTTTCTCATTTTTATGTGGCCTCCCTGTGTCTTTTAAGCTGCTAAACTAACTCGTATTTCCACAGAGGAATTAGATATGGACTTTGGAAAAGAGAATAATTCTTCATACTCACATAAATATCTAGCCCCTGATCTCCAGGCGGAGCTCTGACTGCCTATCCTATTTTGTGCATTGCAGGTTTGAGGAATCTCCTGAAAACTTTGGAGTTTTTACCCAGGAATTCTGGTTTGGGCTCTCATCTCCTTTATTCATTCATTGAAGAAATGGTAGTGAGTTGATATCCAGGGAAAGGTATTTTTGAAGCTGGTGTTTTTCTGTTGCTGAATAAAGAATGGGAAATGTCTTCCTTAAATGTCTTGTTCATCAGAGCTGAAATTGATGATATGTGAGGGATGCTACAGGATTTGAGAAGGTAAAAAACTTCCTTAAAAGGACTCAGAGGGTGCAAAGAAACTAGATCATTCTTTAACCTGGTTATAATATATAGAACTTGCTATCACTGTTTCCAGATTAGTATAAAAACAGGTACTATTGAGCAGAGAACATTTGATTAAATATAACTCTTCTATTCTTTTAGTTCTGGCCTATCAATCAATAAGTATTAGCCACTGAGTGCTTCTGTTATTTTAAGTTATATTATTTCACTCATTTACCACTTATACTGCCACTACTTATTACTAATTACTTATTACTTGTGTTAAAAGTAATTTATTTTCCTTTTGAAATTTCTTCCATGAATATAATTATAAAAATAACTTTCTGGGGTAACTATAGACATTTTTTCTTCTTAAAAATGTACTGTAAATTCATTTTCAGTTATTTAAACTTTTAGATCGGATCTTATATCACTCAAAACATTTCTTTACATTCGTTTTTAGTGTATGTACTTAAAATTGGAAAAACAGCAGATGGGGAGAGTATTTTGGAATCAGAGAGACTGACCTTTTAATCCTACCTCTGATGAGTCTTTGGTCTGTGAACTTCATCTCATCTCTCTAGACCTCGGTTTCCTTACCTGGAAAATAAGTGTAATAATTTCTGTCTCAGAGTTAAAGTGACCATGCATGTAGCAGACCTGGTAAGGAGTAAACACTCCACTTTTACAAACCCCTGTATCCTCTGAATGGCACTCAGGAAGCATGAATGGTTTATATTTCATGGTTACAAGACCACAAAACTATTATCAATTACAAACGAGCCTAACTGATGCTGTCATTATGGTCTCACCATTACCCTAGATTTGCTTCTTTTTCATGTATGTATATATGTGCAGCGGAATGTTACTAACATACTTAAATGCCATTCTCACTTAAAAATATCAGTGTTTAGCAATAAATGTGTAAGATCAGTGGAAATCCTGCCTGGATACAGATGGATTCATTAAATGACTTACTTGTCATCTTGAGCTTGTCTGACAGATTCGCTTTGATTTTAGTTCTTATTCTTTGATGACCTCCAATTTCTTTGTAGTTTGTCATAGTTTTCAGACACATTACTAATCTCAAAATGCTACAGATTTCTTGCTTTCCTATATTGCCTTTGTTAAAGGAAATATGATTTAATGTTACAATAATGATAATTCTAATATTTGCATAGCACTTTAAGTGAATCAAAGTTCTCTTCATCTGTTATGGAATTTCATATTCACATTAACACTGCAAAGTACATAGGACAAAGAATATCATCTTCATAATTTAGATGAAGAAACTAAGCTCCAGAGAAACTGATTTGTCTGGAATTCAGTGTTAATATCTATGACCTTTGCAAGATTATTTTGACTCTTTAAAGTTCAGTTGGTTCTTAAGCTTTTTTGGACCCTGGAATTCTGTGAATCTCTGAAGACCGTGATGGCGTTTTTGTCTGTAGAACGGCAGAAATAGCCGTATGCACTCACATTTGTGTGTGGGTCGTCCTCCCCCACTCGGCTCGTCCCGTGAACTTCAGTCTAGTAGACCTGCTGTGGAGCACATTGCAGTTCACCCAGTAAGACGTCCTGACTTTGCTGGTTTATGATACTGGGAAGAATAAAGGTTGATTAATTCATGCAAACTGTGTTGCATAGAAAGTGGATAATCTACAAAACGTTAACATCTTTTCCTAAGAAAAAATACTGTGTTCGGATAAGTTTAGGAAATGCTAAATATCATAATGGAGATTAGCTCTAGCATATCAAAGACTTTAGAAGTCCTGCAATAAAGAAGCCTGTGTCACTCTTTTTGACTCAGCTTTTCCCCATATTATCAGACCACATAGCCTATGAGACCCTCCTATTTGAGGAATTCTTATTAGCATCACCTAGAATGCAATTTTGGAAGTTTGACTACTTTCATTCCATTTTGGGGATTTTCATCATGTCTGCCATTTACCCTGGCACCTACTACCAGTGTTGTGGTTGCATCACCACGTGGGAAGCCTGAAACCGCCAGGTCGTTGTTTCCTCTTGCGGTGGCTGTCACTTTCACCTGGGGGGACTGGGGGCTCTGGCCTTGTTCTGCCTAATCGCTCAATGCATTGAGATCGACACAGAGCCCATTTTTCTGCTTTTTATTCTGACACCCTTTGAAGACAGTAGCAAGGGATCAAATGCACTCTGTACTGAGTTACCTCCTTTATCACTCTCAGCGGTTTCTATTCCTTTTTTGCTTTATAAAACTGTTTTATTCATTATTTCAGTGATGATTGAGATGAGAGCTTATCCTGGTAGAATGTTCCCACCTTCCCTCGGTAGAAAGAAGAAGGCAGGTCGGTAGACAGAAGAATGTTGGGGGTGAGCATGTTGTGGCCCCACCGGCTTTGGGGCCGAGAGCCCCAGGCTCAAATCCCCCGTCCACAGGGTCCTGCGCTCGGCGCTCTGCTAAACCGCGTCTGCAAAATGCTCATAATAGCAGTGCCTGCCTCACAGGCGCCGTTGGCTTGGAGTAGTTACTACACATCATTGATTTAGAGCAGAGTCTGGGTCATAATAAGTGTTTGTTTTTGCTATTGAACGTTGATTCCGTCTGATTCTCATGATTTTCATTGCTACACAGCAAGCACCCGAACTACAGCGATTGCTGTTATCACTGTGACTCTTTTGATAATTTTATTGATTTGATTTACCTGATTCCAGAATGAGGATAACTGTGATGTAAACTCTTTCTAGAAATTTTAATTCTAGTGTCCGGAGTCCCGTTATGAAATTGATACATTATTTTGTTGCTCTTTAACAGCCTATACCCAGTGGAGAAGAGACTGTTTTCTTGCCTGCCTACGTGAAAGCCTTTCCCTGCCACGCTGAGCGGGCCAGAGGAGCTGGCGTGGGAGCGCGTCAGGTGCCTCTCCGGGAAGGGAGAAGACGCACTTATGTCAGCCTTCTGGAAATGCACAGTCATCAAGAAAGCCACAGTGAATGGAAAAAGAACCCGGTTCTTATCCCTGGGTTTTTTGTTTTTTTTTTTTTGCTACTAACCATATCATGACATTTTTCCGTTGTAAGTTTGTTTTCACAACCTACATAAACAGTTCAGAAAAATGAAGGAAACTTAGGCTTATATTTTTCTGTTCTATGTTTATTTGTTCCTTTTAAATCCTATCATTTCTCCCTTACTGTGGGAATACTTGCTGGACAGTTTTAAGAGTGAAATAGTTTGTGTGAATCAAGGTTAGTTTTCTGCTGGAAGGAGAAAAAATTACCGATTCCAATTTAGATTTATCAGGATCGGTCATTAGTCGTGTTTCATCAGTCGGATGTACAGCCCTTTAGAAAGCGGACCAGTTTGATTGGAAGGAAGGTGGGCTGAGGCCGGTTGTGGACTCTTTACTGCCAAGAGCTGCTGGATGAAGACTTGTAAAAGAGACCCCTGGCTTCAGGGATGCCCTGTTCCACACCAGCAAGCAGTTTTCAGGCTTTTTTATTTTTTTGGTTTTAATTTTTTTAATTTTTTATAGTGGGACTAATTATTTACATAAAACCTTGTTTGGAACCCAAATCTGAAAGAAGAGGCAATAAAAATGGTTAAGTATGCAGATTTTTCTGGCTTCCTTTCTTTCCCCATAATTATCTTTGGAGAACCTGAGAACTCCAGGTTTGAAAATATGCAGAATAAAGGAATATGCTTGTTAAATTTGTCACCCTAATATATTAGCTGAAATACTTAAAAATAATTTTAAATTTTTATATTTTTAATTAATACTCTTGAAGAGGAGTTGGCAAACTTCTTCCTGTAAACAATAAATGTTTTAGGCTTTATAGGCCAAGATGCAAAATCATGATGAATATTATATAGATACTTATATAATGAGAGAAAACAATTTTCCATAACATTTTTGACAAAATTCAAAATATAATATTAATAATAATTGAGTACAAGTTTTTGTAATACAAGTTTGTTAATGAGAAGAATTGAATTCTTTTTAAAAGAAAGATTTTGCTTAATGGGGTAAAAGTTAGTATTCCCTGTCATCAAATTGATTGTAAATGTTCACCAATAAAACCAATTGTTAACTTGTAAGGTCTACAAAATCAGTCCGGCAAGTAGGATTTGGTCCCTGGACCATAGTTTGTGGACCCCTGTTCTAGAATAAACTTCAACTAGAAAATAGTAATTAGGAGATTTCAATTAACCTTAAAGGGGCTTTTGTTTTACAGTGACAGCAATGAAACACCCCCTCGCTGCTATTGGAAAAAAACCCTTCGAAGGTGAAATTCAAGTACCCAATTCGGATAAAGTTTTAGTAAAAGAGAATCTCAGAAATTCTCTGGGGGAGTCTTTTCTGGAAGAGAGTGTGTCAAAATTTGTCAGGTAGTTTAAAAAAGTGCACATATGTTTAACTCAGTGCTTTCACTTCTAGGAATTTAACCCGATGAGGAATATATCAAAGTATTTATGAACAAGGTTACTCATCAAGGCATTGTTTTATCAGAGAAAATTTGTTCATATCCTAAATGCTTGGCAATAATGGGATCAGTAGAATAAATCATTGTGCAGACTTAGATTACTACACAGCCACTGCCAATTGTATTATGGGACTTGATTTATTGACATGGAAAGAGGTTCACAATATATTGGATTTTTTGTTATCTTTTTTTTTATTTCAGCATATTACAGGGCTGCAATTGTTTAGGTTACATACATTGCCTTTGCCCCACCTGAGTCAGAGCTTCAAGCATGTCCATCCCGACGGTGCACACTGCACCCATTAGGTGTGTATCCACCCATCCTCTCCACCCCTTCCACCTGCCTGACACCTGGTGAATGTTACTACTCTATGTGCACTGAAGTGTTGATCAGTTAATACGTATTTGATGGTGAGTAAATGTGGTGCTTATTTTTCCATTCTTGTGACAAAAAAAAATCACAGCAGCAACAAAAATAAATAAATGGGACATGATCAAACTACAAACTTCTGCACAGCCAAAGAAATAGTCATGAAGGTAAACAGACAACCTACAGAATGGGAGAAAATTTTTGCATCCTACGCATCTGATAAGGGGCTGATAACTAGAATATACTTAGAACTCAGGAAAATCAGCAAGAAAAAAATCAAATAACCCTATTAAAAAGTGGGCAAAGGACTTGAACAGAAACTTTTCTAAAGAAGACAGAAGAATGGCCAACAAACATATGAAAAAATGCTCAACATCTCTAATCATCAAGGAAATGCAAATCAAAACCACAATGAGATATCACTTAACTCCAGTGAGAATGGCCTTTATCAAAAAGTCTCAAACATAAATGCTGGCGTGGAGGCAGAGAGAGGAGGAACACTCCTACACTGCTGGTGGGACTGCAAACTAGTTCAACCTCTGTGGAAAGCAATATGAGATACCTTAAAGCGATACAAGTGGATCTACCATTCTGATCCAGCAATCCCATTACTGGGCATCTCACCCACAAGATCCAATGACACTCTAGAAAAAAGACACCTGCACTCGAATGTTTATAGCAGCACAATTCATAATTGCAAGGCTGTGGAAACAGCCAAGTGCCCATCAATCCAAGAATGGATTAATAAAATGTGGTATATGTATACCATGGAGTACTATTCAGCTATAAGAAACAACGGTGATATAGCACATCTTATATTTTCCTGGTTAGAGCTGGAACCCATACTTTTTTTTTTTTTTTTTTTTTTGGGAACAGAGTCTCGCTTTGTTGCCCAGGCTAGAGTGCGTGCCGTGGCGTCAGCCCTAGCTCACAGCAAACCTCAAACTCCTGGGCTCGAGCGATCCTTCTGCCTCAGCCTCCGCGAGTAGCTGGGACTACAGGCATGAGCCACCATGCCCGGCTAATTTTTTATATATATATATCAGTTGGCAATAATTTCTTCTATTTATAGTAGCAGACGGGGCTCCGCTCTTGCTCAGCGGCTGGTTTGAACTCCCTGACCTTGAGCAATGCCGCCCGTCGGCCCTCCCAAGAGCTAGATTACAGGCATGAGCCACCGCGCCCGGCCTGGAACCCATACTATTAAGTGAAGCTTCCCAAGAATGGAAAAAAAGCACCACATTACTCACCAGCAAAATTGGTATTAACTGAGCAGCACCTAAGTGGACACAGGTACTACAGTAATAGGGTATCGGGCAGGTGGGAGGGGGAGGGGGACAGGGTATATACATATAAAATGAGTGAGATGCGCACCATCTGGGGGATGGTCATGCTGGAGACTCAGACTTGTGGGTGGAGGGGGGAATGGGCATTTTTTGAAACCTTAAAATCTGTACCCC